AGAAATTGAAATGGTAAGTCATTAAGTTAATTGTAATTATTAATATAGCATTATTATGATTACCTGTATTAAAGTATTTAATAGATTGGAAAAGGCCTCATAACCATTTACCAGACTACGAGAAATGCCATCAAACATGTCACCATTATTACCATATTTTTCATGTTCACTTATGGTATCCAAAATGGGTAAAGGCTGAAAATATTTAACATAGGAAACGTTTTTTAAAAGTGTATAATATTTTATACATAGAGACTCTATATTCAAAAAGTGCTAACTCAAAAAAATGTAGTTTTAAGGAGTTAACAAAAAACTGTTTAATTTAAATAATATTGTTGTAAAATAACTATGGGAGCTAACACTTATTTTCTTCCAAAATATTCTACTTTGAGAGATAGCATAATAACAAAAACATATATAACAAGTTAGGGACAATCTTTAGGTGAAAGATTTTTAATTTAATTAATTTTTTTGCATCAGCTGTTTACACTTTTGCATTTCGTGCTTAAGATTAAACCACCTCCATTGGGCGCTTAAACCTGCAAACAAAATTAACTAATTGAGTACTGAAAAACATCTTTCGAGGATTAATTTTAATTTAATCGCTAATCTTTCCCCTAAAGATTGGCCCTAAGAGTTCTATATTCGGTTGTACCGAATCTTATATATCTTTCACCAGTTGAAAACGAAAAGTATCAATCAGGACGCCGCTTGTTTAATAAAAGTACTAGTTGAAGAAAAAAAAAAAAGTACCAAAAAGTTTAATCTCATAAATTTTCATTATATCAGGATCATTTATATCAATCAAATCAAAAAAGTACCATCTGAATGACGAAAAAGTTCCAGAAACTCGCCTTTTATAGACTTTCATTCAATCTGCGTGTTTAATATTATAAAAGTCTCAGAAAGTACCAGTTGAAGTGCGAAAAAGTACCATTGTTCAGAACAACATTTACCGTAGGTTGTTGTTGTTTTTCCTGATCTTCCCCATCCTGGTGTTATTGCAATCCTTCGGTGCTACCAATACCTCTAGTTCCCCTGTACTATAAACTGATGGTGTCAAATGTATCTTCGACCTTTCCTTGAAATGATTTGACATAAGGTCGAAGAATTGAGTCTTATATACAATCTAGTGCCGGAAGCACACAGGACATAGTTTCGAGACTTTTACTTCTTGCCACGGTTATTGGAGAGATCCCTTTAAGGCGCACGTGGTATCTGTGGTTTAAACTCAAACTCGCGGGAAGTGAATGTTGATTAAAAGACTGATGCACGTAAAGTGGGGCTAAGCGTTGGGAATGAGTTATTGCATCTCGGAAGTTATTCAACGTATCGGAATGGATCTTTTGATCCTAGCCACCATACAAAGCCACTTTCATATACTTATATAAATCGCTTTGAAATTCAGTACAAATTAGTTGTATGTAAACATAAATCCATACACCAAATTTTATGAGGATCGGTATATATTTGCCTCTAGCCCCATATAAAGTCTCACTCAGAAATGTATTTCAAGTCAATAAATTGCTTAAATATATCAGAACCAAGGTATAACTCAACATAAATTATTAATTATGAGACATTTAATATTCGTAACTGGTGTAGGGTATATATAGTAGGTTACATATAGTCGACCACGCCCGACATACTTTCTTATTTATTTTCAAAACTAAAAGTTTAGTTTAATAATATTTCTGCAATATGTTTTATTTTGTTTAAGTCCCTTCCTTTCGATTTTCACTCACCTGTGTTTTATCAAAATATTTCTTTTGAGTTTTATCGTAGAGACTTAAAACTTTTGATGGTACTCCCTCAGTTTCCAAATTGACCGACTCCCGGTTTTTCTCGGCAGCTTTAAATAAAGAAATCTGCAAGAACCAAAATTTAAGTTAAGAAGTTAGTTCGAAAGAAAGTTAAACAAACAAAACATTTCAAATTTGACTTAATTGCGGTTCCTGATTTTTGAATCCTATATACCCTTCTCCAAAGTGTATTAAAAAATAATTTTTAACATTTTTAATATAATTTTTTTATATTTTTTAAATACGTTATTTCCAATAGATTTTTCTAAATATTCTTTATCCGAATTTGAAATAAAAATTCTAAATTTCAATTGAGGTTTTCCAAGTTTAACTGTTAAAGTTTTATTCAATAAATTCTATATATTAATATAAAGGGCTTTAAACATTACGCGCAGTTGCAGTTGTGTTTTTACACTTGACCTTTTAGTTTTTTAAGAGATCAGTTTTAGAGAACTTTATACCTACTTTGTCTAACAACAAAAATGTTCATGGTTTTTATAATTATTTGTCACATTGTTATTATAAACGTTTTCTTGTAAAATATTTATGATCACTAAATGGTTTCCAACAATAAAATGTGTTTACATTAAAATATCAAAAATGCGGCATGTTAAACAAATAAAATCATTTCTCAAGGTCATCATTAACAACTTAAATCTTCACACATATTTGAATTATAATTTTGAAATTACGAAATCGAGTTTAAATAAATTTAGTAGTAATTTTATAACAACAATGGAATTACCCTTAATGCACCGGAATCTGATGAAAGCTCTGCTTGTGAATGTAAAGCTAAATCATCATCACTTAATTCTGTTTGATGTGACAATTCTGGCTCGGAAAGTTCTGCATTATAGGAGCCATCACTATTTACCACTGGGTATGTTTGGCAAACAGCCACTAAAAAACTTAAATAAACAAATAATTTCGAAATAATACACGCAAATTTCATTTTATGTTAAAGGTTTGAGTTGGTTTTTTTTTAACGAAAACAAAAACCGTTAATTTAATAACGAACGAACGTACACAACCACACCGAATTGACTTAATAACTGAATTAAAATCACTGCAGAGTTTTGGAAATTTAGATTTAAGTCTTGGTTTTAAAAATGTTAAGTGTATTTTTTGCTTAGTTGTTGTTGTTAGTTGGCATCGGTGTTACAACATTAAAAAGCTTTTTGTTTATATTGGTGGGTATATATCAGGGATGGAAAATTCACTACTATTAAACTATTGCCAGTATTTTTTGGGTACTTTTTATAGTTTATAAACATTTGCTAAATAGTCCTGAAACTGTAGACTAGTCGTTAAATTGTCTACAAATGAAAAGCTAGAAAAGCACATTCCAGGGCTTAGAGTAGTAAATGGACTACATGGGAAAGTCAAAACACTAACAGATTATTTCAGAGACCACTCCACAGATTAGTCCACAGACTAGTCTATGGAGTAGTCAATATATTTAGTTTAAAGACTAGCCAACGGACTAGTCCATAGACTAATAGAGTAATTAAGGGACCGGTCCATTGTTTATTTAATAAACTTATTAATAGACTACTTCATGGACAATTAATAGAATAGTATAGAATATATAATAGAACAAACAATTAACTAGTACCAAGACTAGTCCATCGAGTAGACATAGGCTTGTTAATAAGGTAGTCAATGAACTAGTCCATAGTTAATAAGGTAGTCCATAGATTAGTTTCTAGTCTAGTCCATCGACTAGTTAATAAACTAGTCTATAAACTTGTAAACTAGACAATGAAATAGTTCATAAACTAATCTGTAGACTATTTAATAGACTAGTCATTGACCTATTCCATAGACTAGTCAAAAGACTACTCAGTGAACTACTTAATGTACTACTCAGTGGACTAGTTTATATACTATTAAATATATAAACCAATGGACTAGTACATAGTCCAGTTAAGTCAAAACACTAGTCATTATAGTAGCCAAAACACTAGTTATTATATCAAATAATAGACTAGTCCATGGACTAGTTAATAGTCAATAGATTAGTCAGTACTCTAGTCAATAGGATAATTACTACACTGGATAATAGACTAGCTGATATATTCAATAATAGATCTGTCCATAGAAAGTTTAGAAACCTCAAATACATATCAGATTCATTCCAGAATTTTAAGAGTCTACATTTTTCCAATATTTAAAAATATATAAAAATTTTAACGATCGGATACAATAAGCAGAAAGTACTTTTATTTTCCAAAAATAACTTTCTTGGGCTAAGATAGTACTATTTCAAACGTCAATTTCCCATGCCTGGTTTCATATATGTACATAAATACCTGACGAAAACACTCATCATTCCAGGCATTCATTCATAATTTATGTCCATGACCATAAAACAACAAAAATTATAAATACAAAAAAAAAAATGGGTTAGTTAGTTAGATGATGTCTCTATCACAACACTAGGAAGGAAATGTCGTCGTTAGCGGTTAAGTTTAAATTAAGTCGTTTACTGTTATACTTATAATGGAATTGTCTGGTCCAGATACAAGAAAAAGACTACTTTTCTTTTGATTATACATACGTACATACATACATACATGTAAGTATGAAAGCCTACAATGAAAGTAAACTTTACCAAACGCCTGTAAACCACACTTAAATGTCTTACGTCTGGTAGTTTTACATTCGAAGTTGTTGTGTAATAATCTTGTTTATTTGTTTGCTATTTTTTATATTTTGTTTTTACTGAACGACTGACTTATTGACTGACTTAAAAAGAGGAAGAAGATGTTGGCCAAAAACGTTTTGTGAAAAGCGTTGTTGTTTATAAATATGTAGTTGGCGCCACAGCGTTTATGCTAATGTTAGTACAGTTTTAAATTATTGTTCCTATCGGCCCATAAGTGAACATATCAACCATAGTCGAGTTCTTTTCAAAACTTAGCCTCTATTGGTAAAAATTTTACTATAGCAGTGCTTACCTTAAATGGTACATTGAACATGCATATTATAAGGATGCCAATCACCAAAAGCTATTCCAGTACTCTTGCCGGCCGGTGTTGTAAGTGTTTAAAACATACGTCTTACACCCATAATAGAACTTCAACCTCTCGAGTCATGGTCCTAACATTTACGAAGTATCCAATTCCGGATCAGCATCACAGAGTAAAACACTCGTTTGTTTCTTGGCAAAGGCACGTTATAAATGTGGTGAGACGGCTGGAGTATAAGGCAACTATATGCAACCGCGTGATTCGAACTCCGAAACCACGTCATGAGTATTAACATTAGTGGGAATACCAGCTCCCCATATGCAGCTTCCACCGACGCCAGTTGCAGTTACACCTGTATGACACACAAACACTGGAATTTTTATGGGCAATTATAACACAAAGTTACCCTGCGATTATAAGCTGCCCTAGGGCACAAAGTATACAGAGGTGTCACTTTTGACATTTAAAAAAGTCCTAAATCAGCTTTTGTTTGATTTTGAAATTGTTTGGTGAGAAGAGGTATATAAAATACAGCTAAAAAAAATTATTGAATTCGTTTTGTGCGAAAGAGAGGGAAATAGTTTTTTGCTCGTGACGCCTCTGTATACCCTGTCACAGGGTATTCTCACCAAACAATTTCAAAATCAAACAAAAGCTGATTTTAGACTTTTTAAATGTCAAAAGTGACACCTCTGTATACTTTGTGACCCTGTGCCTAGGGCCTAGGCTAGGCACTGCTGCATTTCGTGCAGCACATTTGGACAAAAAACCGAATTTTATCAAATCTCTTTGGGAGAATTGCGGAGCATCAAATTAACGGCGCCGAAAATTTTAAGCCGTCCAACGATGTTTTTTTAAATTATGTCGGCGGCTTGACTTAGTCTCTACTACTGTTGCAGAAATTGATTTAACAGTTTAATTAAAAAAGCTTTCAGATAAAGCTTTTGCTGTTTGGTTATTTATTAACATGCAGCTGTTAATTAAGATCCAAAGTTATCAAGTTGATAGCAGTAATGTTAGTAATAATGGACACTAAAAGCTTTGTAATGTAAAAATAAACGTAAAGCTCTGTTGCTGTGATAACGATTTAAAATTACAGTAGAACATGTATAATTCGACCTTTTAATAATTCGGGTAATTTCAAGGAGATATGGTTTCCGATTATCTAGAATATTAAAATTAAAACGCAGTGATACAGTTGATACATTAAAGATGTATTTTGCTTTAAAAATAATTTTTTTTTTAATTTGTTGCCGTGTTTTCTTACGAAACAGAAATAAAAAAATTTTGAATCAATCTTTAACTCAATTCCATTTGTAATTTACCTTACAAATGGAATTAAATTAATTTAAACATTTGAAAAATAAAAATATTTCATATTTGTTAATTTCCTAACACGATTTCTAGCATATGTTTCGTATACAAAAACTAATGCTGGCTGAATATCGCGACATCTATGAACCGGTTATAGTAGAAAATCCTTTTACTCAAGTCACCGAATACGGCGAAGGTCTTAGACAATATCATATAGGTAAACATTTAAAATTATTTTTTAATAGAAATAAACATATTTGCATTTAAAAAATATTAGGCTTAACCCGCTCTAAAATAATCTTTGGCTGTGATGACTTCGATGGCACCGATCTGGAAGATTTCGATTACAAAGGTCTAGATCCCGAAATAGAAACTTTCCAATTAGTAAGCCTCATGCCTTTGCAATTTGTTAAATTAAATTTCTTTCGCAAAAAGAATAGAAATATTATGCGCATTTCTATTTGTGGTGAAGAGGAGAAACCTATGCTATTTGAATTTTGGCGGTCATCTATAAAAGTGTAAGTTGGCGAAATATTTTTAAAATTAAAAATCTAATTTGTTTTTTTTTAGCTCTTCTGGAAAACTTGGCGTGAACGTGTTGCCACTATACGTCTCTTACATCCCAATCTTTTTCACATCTCCTGTTCTTCACCCTTTTCGAGTACTGATGTCCTGGGCGAAGAGGAACTTTGTTATGCTCAGGTGCATGTAGACTCGAATTATTCACAATCTTCGTGGAGGAATTATTCGACCAGTTGTAGTTTGTTGAGTCAATAGTTTATGGGATAAATGTAGAAATTAAATTTAATAAATGTATGTAGATAGTATAGTAACATTTACCATAATTATTTATTATATCGAAGAAACCACAGATAACTATAGGATGTTGATAAAAAATCGATGAAAGATTTTTCTATAATATCGATTAGACGTTTATTAAAAAGTGTAACCGATAGAATTTCGCATATATGTATATTTTATTGTCCACACGTTCGTTGGATGGTTGGTTGGTTGGTTAGTTAGTTAGTAGTTGTAGTTAGTTAGTTAGTTAGTTAGTTTAGTTAGTAGTTAGTTAGTTAGTTAGTAGTTAGTTAGTTAGTTAGTTAGTTAGTTAGTTAGTTAGTTAGTAGTAGTTAGTTAGTAGTTAGTTAGTTAGTTAGTTAGTTAGTTAGTTAGTTAGTTAGTAGTTAGTTAGTTAGTTAGTTAGTTAGTTAGTTAGTAGTTAGTTAGTTAGTTAGTTAGTTAGTTAGTTAGTTAGTTAGTTAGTTAGTAGTTAGTTAGTTAGTAGTTAGTTAGTTAGTTAGTAGTTAGTTAGTTAGTAGTTAGTTAGTTAGTAGTTAGTTAGTTAGTTAGTTAGTTAGTTAGTAGTTAGTTAGTAGTTAGTTAGTTAGTTAGTTAGTTAGTTAGTAGTTAGTTAGTTAGTAGTTAGTTAGTTAGTTAGTTAGTTAGTTAGTAGTTAGTTAGTTAGTTAGTTAGTTAGTTAGTTAGTTAGTTAGTTAGTTAGTTAGTTAGTAGTTAGTTAGTAGTTAGTTAGTTAGTGTTAGTTAGTTAGTTAGTTAGTTAGTTAGTTAGTTAGTTAGTTAGTTAGTTAGTTACTTACTTACTTACTTAGTTAGTTAGTTAGTTAGTTAGTTAGTTAGTTAGTTAGTTAGTTAGTTAGTTAGTTAGTAGTTAGTAGTTAGTTAGTTAGTTAGTAGTTAGTTAGTTAGTTAGTTAGTTAGTAGTTAGTTAGTTAGTTAGTTAGTTAGTTAGTAGTTAGTTAGTTAGTTAGTTAGTTAGTTAGTTAGTAGTTAGTTAGTTAGTTAGTTAGTTAGTTAGTTAGTAGTTAGTAGTTAGTAGTTAGTTAGTTAGTTAGTTAGTTAGTTAGTTAGTTAGTTAGTTAGTTAGTTAGTTGTAGTTAGTTAGTTAGTTAGTTAGTTAGTTAGTTAGTAGTAGTTAGTTAGTTAGTTAGTTAGTTAGTAGTTAGTTAGTTAGTAGTTAGTTAGTTAGTTAGTTAGTTAGTAGTTAGTTAGTTAGTTAGTTAGTTAGTTAGTTAGTTAGTTAGTTAGTTAGTTAGTTAGTTAGTTAGTAGTTAGTAGTAGTTAGTAGTTAGTTAGTTAGTTAGTTAGTTAGTTAGTTAGTTAGTTAGTTAGTTAGTTAGTTAGTTAGTAGTTAGTTAGTTAGTAGTTAGTTAGTTAGTAGTTAGTTAGTAGTTAGTTAGTTAGTTAGTAGTTAGTTAGTTAGTTAGTTAGTAGTAGTTAGTTAGTTAGTTAGTTAGTTAGTTAGTTAGTTAGTTAGTGTTAGTTAGTTAGTTAGTTAGTTAGTAGTTAGTTAGTTAGTAGTTAGTTAGTTAGTTAGTTAGTTAGTTAGTTAGTTAGTTAGTTAGTTAGTTAGTTAGGTAGTTAGTTAGTAGTTAGTTAGTTAGTTAGTAGTAGTAGTTAGTTAGTTAGTTAGTAGTTAGTTAGTTAGTTAGTGTTAGTTAGTAGTTAGTTAGTTAGTTAGTTAGTAGTTAGTTAGTTAGTTAGTAGTAGTTAGTTAGTTAGTTAGTTAGTTAGTAGTTAGTTAGTTAGTTAGTTAGTTAGTTAGTTAGTAGTTAGTTAGTTAGTTAGTTAGTTAGTAGTTAGTTAGTTAGTTAGTAGTTAGTTAGTTAGTTAGTTAGTTAGTTAGTTAGTTAGTTAGTTAGTTAGTTAGTTAGTTAGTTAGTTAGTAGTTAGTTAGTTAGTAGTTAGTTAGTAGTTAGTTAGTTAGTTAGTTAGTTAGTTAGTTAGTTAGTTAGTTAGTTAGTTAGTTAGTTAGTTAGTTAGTTAGTTAGTTAGTTAGTAGTAGTTAGTTAGTTAGTTAGTTAGTGTTAGTTAGTTAGTTAGTTAGTTATCATGGTGCTGTTTGCCTCAGTACTTTTTATCTCGCACTGATTACTCGTTGTTACTATAAATGTTAAAAGTAGGCGTAAAAAGAGGCGTGTCATCTACTAATGATCTGATCTATAATTACTTAATTAAACGAAATGTTAATAATTTTTCGTTTGCTTTATTATTTTTATTTCTTTTAATTATATACATTTTGAGATTTTATTGCACATAAAACTAAATTATATTCTGCTTATAATTAAAAATTTATAATAAAATGTAATTTTTAACAAAAATTTTCTTAAAGAAGCATATAAAAACAATGGTAGATATTAAAAGGCCAGGCGAAATAATAATATAACAATTTATAATACATTTAAGCTGAAATTAGCAAAAATATACTTTGTGACAACATTTTTTTAGGCAAATTCGAAATGCTTCCGAAATTTCACTTTTTTTCAAAACATTCTTACTTAAACATTAACCAAACTTAATCGATTCTCGGTAGATTTACTACTACTGGTGCCATTACGATTACCATTCTTTAAAATACCAACACCTGTCGTTCCAGAGGCACCATTCACCGCCCGATTATTTGTTTTCGTTAACATTTCCCCCGAATTATTATCATTTATGGATGATTTTTGTAATTTCTTAGACATTTCCTCTACCGAAAAACCATTATTGCCATAATCCACACTTTGGCGTTGTTGTTGTTGCAATTGCTGCTGTTTGCTGATGCAAAGGACAATTACGCTGATGTTCGGTATATGAATTGCCATTGGATTTGCGTAGATTTGCACGTGACAGAGTACTTGTAATTCACTTTGTTAAGGCCTCATTTGTAGGTGTGGTATCACCTGAATCTCTACCTTTCTTTTGCGTCGTTAGAAAATCGAATTTTTCTGGTTCTCTTCTCATATTGGAAGGTTGGCGGTATTCTCCTATGGTAACAGTACCCAAACGTAAAGTTTGTCTATTTGCTTG